AGGAAGGAAGGAAGGAAGGAAGGAAGGAAGGAAGGAAGGAAGGAAGGAAGGAAGGAAGGAAGGAAGGAAGGAAGGAAGGACTCAAAGCCAACCAGAAGTTTGATATGGAATCTCTCTGAGCAGAAACCACCCAAGCTAATGGCAAAGGAAGAGGGGAGGAAGGCAGGGGGAGGAGGAGGAGGAGACGCAGGAGGATACAGAGATGGAGGAGGAAGAGGAAGCAGAAGTGGAGGAGGAGGAAGAAAGGAGAAAAAGGAGGGGGAGGGGGGAAGAGGAGAGGAGGGGGAGAAACGGCTGGGACTCCCACCAGGTCAAACCTCCCCTTTCTGATTGCTGCAGTTATTCACTTCCTCCTCCTCCTCCACTTGGTAGCAATTTGTCTGAATGAGTTTGCGACGACGCAATCAAAGCAACGATGATCAAACGGCAGTTTAGTGTTTCTACCACGGAACAGCAGGCAGTGTCGTATTTAGAACCTGCGGATTGTCCCAGAGTTTCTCTCCCCCTTTCTCTCTCCTCTGCTTTGATGCAGGTAAACAGTCTGAAAATGTGAAACTCTGTTTTTATCTTCTCAGTAGAACTGGATTCTTTTTCCCGGCCAGCCTAAAATTCCCCTGGTTCCCATTAACTTATTTTTATTTTATGCCCCGAGTTTCCTCGGGGCAGCGTAAAACACGCTCTCTCCTCCAATTTTTCTCCATCACGATAATTCTCCAGGTTATCCTGGAGTGAGAATAATTGACCCCATTCTCCAGGAGGGATAATCTCCTGAAAGGAAGTAGCCATCCTATTCTACACCATGCACGCTGCTTCCACGTGTTGGGGCTAAAGCAGTCTATACATTTTATAAAATAATGAACAATAATTGCAAAAGATAGCTTCACTTGGACATCCTGGGACGATACCTGAAAAGCCATCAAGAAACACCACCTGTCTAGCCAGGTTCTTCGGAAGGACTCGACAGGTGGACTGAAATGCCAAATCCAGGCTAAACATCTGGCTGGCTAAGAGAATATCTGCAGCTCAGGATTGAACGGTGGGGTCCTCGGTGCTTCTCTGGGTTCGGTTGTTTTCCTGGAGATGTTTCATAACCCAACTAGGTAACCTCATCAGTGCTAGAAGAATATTGCAAGAATCTCATTCCCTTCCAGAGACAGCAAACCCCCAACTCCCTTCTAGCACTGCTGATGCTACCTAGTTGGGATCATGAAACGTCTGCAAGAAAGCAATCCAGCTCTGAGAGCACCAAGGACCCCTCCTTCCAACTCTTTTGAGCTGCGAATCTTCTCTTCGACTGAGAGAGATCCCCGAGAGATTTTCCTTCGATTAAAAGCCCAACGGGAACCGGCATAGACCTATCGAATAGAGTCCACTTTATCTTCCAAAGCCAGGAGGGCCCCAGGCCAGGCTTGCAGGTGGTCAGAGTCATCGGACAATCCAGCCCTGCGCCCAGAAGGTGCTTCGCTTCTTCCCTTGGTCTGGTCTGCTTCCTGGTTCCCACTCAAGCAGCCTGGGAAAGCTTGGCCTGCTTGGGTGCCCTCCTCCCAACCCCCCCCCCCCATCACCCGAGGCCCTTGGAGCTTGCCGGCCCCTCTTCCACAGGGCTCTGCGGCTCAAAAGGTGAAAAGAGCTTCACACGCCGGTTCCAAGACCGTGTTCTGCTCAGTGGGGTGGAAGAGGAGGGAAGGAGGGGAGGGTGGCCGGGAATTCGTTTTAGCACTTCCACTCGCCCTTGAAATCCTTCGCAATTAAGAAAACAGAAACACCCCCCCCACCCCACCCCCCCGCTTACCTTGTTGCCAAGGTCGAAAAGATAGCAATCTTCCTCACGAACGTTGGCCTCCGAGTCCGAAATCAGCTCTCCGACGTATCTGCAGGAACACAACACCCCGCCCCACCCCGAAAAGTCGGTATAACGTGCAGAATCCAATACGTGGGTTTGTTTTTTTTTTTTTTTTGCAGAGGAACGCAGCGTCTCCCAGTTTTGGCAACGCTTGCGGATTTCAACTCCCCAAATTCTCAGAAAGAGCTGGGGAGGATCCAGGGAGTGGACGACGCGTCTGGAGAGACGAGCTTTTTCCACATGGTAGCTGGGTGACCAAACCCACGTGATCTGTGGCGGAGATTCTCAATCGTCCAGGTCGTCTTCCTCGCCCGAGGCAACTGGACTTCCAAGTGGGCTCAACGCCACGCTAAAAGGACCAGCTGTCTGCAAGGAGCATAAATCCTTCCCTTCCCCACCATCCGGTCAGAGCTGAAGAAGCGTCTTGGACGAGAAGCGAAACGCCTTCAAAGAAAACCCAGACAGTCCAGTTGCCTCTTGGAAAAGCACCTTTGGGACAACCAGGACCTGGAGGACGACTGAGAATCTCCATGAACTTTTAACTAGGCATCTTGGGATGAGCCCCCCTCAAATGGTGTGGGAATAGGAGTGGATTTCCAGAGAAAAAAATAATAATTGCAGGCTACGGGAGCATTCTTGTATTGGGGAAAATAACTTAGGAAGATTAAGGGTCCTTGTCCCAACTGTTTTTCTTTGAAGACGCTTCGCTCCTCATCCAAGAAGCTTTTTCAGTTGGGTCAGCTGTGGCCGTATGCTGAGGTAGGTCTACCTGTGTTGAGGTATCTGTCTCGTGCATTCAGCCAAGGCTTTTTAAATCAGGACACCCATCAATCAAACCATCGAAATTAGCCCCCCGTCGTATTGCCAAGCCAGGGTTGGACAATTCTTTCCAGAGACCTGCACCGTTTACACACACAAAAAGGCTTTGAAATCCGGCCGAAAACTGTCCGGGCAGCCAACCCCGATCTATCTGGGTGAAGCCCAGGGACGAGAGCCAAAAGGCATCAATCTATCCACTGCTTGGCTTGAGACACCGACGTGTTGGGAAAGGAGCCACTGAGGGACCAATCAGGAGGAGTTGAGGAAGAGCCCGTGTGTTGCACATGGCCTAAGACAGCTGATTCTCCTAGGAGAGTCCGGACGGAGGGAGAAATCCACCCTCTGGCCTCTGTGGCCAGCCAGCGGTCAGCGGAGCTGGCACCAGACTCGGACAGTGAAGAGGTTGGGGAGGAACACGGGCCAGTCCTGGAGTCTGGGGAAGGCTCTCATGAGGGCTCTGCGGCGGAGGCAGAGATGGGGCCAGGGCCCTCCGACAGTTATCGGCTGCCTTTGGAGATCAGTGAGGCAGAAGAACAGCTGGAGCCTGTTCCCAGTGTGCGCATGCACAGAACTGCCAGGAGAAGGGAACAGCTAAGGAACAAGGGTCAATTCGGGAGTAAAGGCTCGGGTGGACGGTGGATGGCCCCTCCCAGGGGGAATAAAGGGGAGCGAAAGGGGAGTGGGGTTTGCAGGAGACAATTAGTTCAAGACGCGAGGGTGAAGATCTGTTCCTGACTTCTTGCCAAGTAATTGCTGCTACAGAGTGGCGTATAGTTGTGAAAGGTCTACAATTGTGAAATCGCTTGACAGACTTTGCTGGAGAGGAATTCACTGTAACCTAAATAAAAGGGGTTTTGTCGGTACGAGAAGCCGGGTTCGTGCTTTTGGGGAGCCAAGGGTGTGTCACATTTGGCCTAAGACAGCTGGTTGTCCTAGGAGGGTCTGGACGGAGGGAGGAATTGCCCCTCCAACCTCAGGCCCTTGCTCTCTCGCCCCCCCCCCCCCCCCGAGGCACTCACTCGCACACAAAGGTCCCCAGCGGAATGTCTTGCATCGTCCTCACACCCCAGCCCATCTTCCTCGTCCGGAAAAGTTGCAACCTTGTCCTGGAAAAGAGCAGAGAAGCGGCCCCGTCAAGCTCCACCAGCCCCTCCGCCCGTGGGTTGGATTTCGACAGGTGAGGTTTCCAACCAAAGGTGAAACGGGGTTAATTTATAGAAGAGTCAGGTCCGTGGCTCTCCCAGGGGGCATGTTTTACAAGTTTCAAAGAACATAGAAGGGACACAAGGATGGAAGGGACCTTGGAGGTCTTCTAGTCCAACCCCCTGCTCAAGCAGGAGACCCCACCCCACCCCAAGCAACTGGCTAACTGGGTCTTGGAGAAAAGCCTTCTCAGCTGCGGCCCCGATCCTATGGAACGTCTTATCATAATATTAGAAGGACTGGATTGTGGAATGGAGTGGAGTGGAATAGACTGGAAGGGACCTTGGAGGTCTTCTAGTCTAACCCTATGCTCAAGCAGGAGACCCTACATCTTTCTCTTCTTCAAGACCTCCAGAGTTGGAGCATCCACAACTTGGTTGTTCCACTAACTGTTCTGTCAGGAAGTTCCTCCTTAGCTCCAGGCTGCTTCTCCCCGTGATCAGTTTCCGCCCGTTGCTTCTTGTCCTGCCTTCTGAAGGGGCTTTGGGGGATGAGCTGACACACACACACACACACACACACACACACGGCCCTCCTTCCTTGTGGGAGTCCCCGTCTTCACCTCCTGTAGGAATCTCTTGTGCATTTCTCTCTTTTTTTTTCTTTTTCTTCCCCTCCTGCAGGTCGTGGAACACTGCGATCATGTCACCCCTAGCCAGTGGTGGGGTTCAAACGTTTTTTTACTACCGGTTCAGTGGGCCTGGCTTGGCGGGCGTGGCAGCGGAAGGATCTACTGCAAAGTCCCCCTTCCCTCCCCACCCCACTGACCTGCTTTCCAGCTCCCTTCTCCTGTGCAGGGCAACCCAAGGTGACCCAGCCAATCAGCTGGGACTCGATGGGAGGTGGGGAAGAGTTGGGGTTGGCGGGGTCTCTGAACTACTCAAGATTTTCTGCTACCGGCTCTCCAGAACCGGTCCGAAGCAGCTGAACACCCCCCCCCCCTGCCCGCGAATGGATGATCTGAACATCTCACCGGAGTCCGTTTTGCACCACCCGATTCCGGCAGTTTCTCCAACAGGAACAGGCGTGGTTACACTCGAAGATTAGCGGAGGTTCAGCCGTGTTGAATTCTGGCAGCAGCCGTCCTTCCTGCGCCCGGAGGGAAAAGGGAGGCTGTAGCCGAGCATCTCAGGGGGGCACCTGAACTGGACATTGTCCATCCCCAAGCACAGGCAGTCCTTGACTTATGACAGTTGACTGAGGGATAGTTCGAAGTCACAGTGGCACTGAAAAGAGGGACTTAATAATGACCAGGGGGCCATTTCTCAGCCTGACGGCCGTGGCACCACCCCCCTGGTTACGTGATCAAAATTCAGGTGTTTGGCCCCTCTTTAGGACGACTGCCGATGTCCTGGGGCCTCATGCAGACTTTGTAAACTTCTCACTAGCAAAGTCAATGGGTGAAGCCCAATTCCCTTAACGACCGTGTGATTAACTTAACAACCGTGGAAAGGAAGGATGTAAAATGAAGCAAAATTTTCCCTTAATAAATGTCTCGCTTAGGAACGGATGTTTTGGGGGCTCAACTGCGGCCGTAAGTCGAGGACTACCTGTAAGAGCAAGGCCCCTGCCCCCCCCCCCCCAAGCAGGCCAAACGATGCAGCTGCAGGTTATTGACATCATTTGGGCAACGGTGTCATCAAATTACAGGACCGACATCCGTAACTGGCCGAAGGAGGCCAATCGATTTGTGCTTCTGCAGGTGCTTGAGGAATGAGGGGCAGAGACGGCCAAATTGGCTGCTTTGGTCATGGGGAAAAAGCCCAACAGAAACCCTGGAAACCACTTCTGGACTTTGTGCTTGAGGTGGGGGGGAAACGATGCTTTGATTTTGGGGTTTACCGATTAGATAGACACGGTGTTGCTGCAATGGTTAGTATAAACTACTATGTGTGACTTAAAGGTTGTGGTTGGATGCCCTGAGCCTGTTCTACTACACCGAAGGGAGGGAGTTGGAAGTCAGTGCCTTTTCTTTCTCCCCCCCCCCTTTTCCCTTCCCCCCATTTCCTCCTCCTTTTTGCTCTTGTATTTTGTTCGTATGTTATAGCGTAAATTAATAAAATTGCTATAAACACTTTTTTTTTAAAGAAAAGAAACGAGGGGCACAAACTCTACCCAAACAATCCACCCAATCAAGGCTGCAGGGCCCAAATATTTTACAAAAAAATAAAAATAAAAAATATCAAAGTTAACGTGGATGTTTTCCCCCAGCCCAGCGGATCGGTTCCTCCCCTCGGCCGGCTTTCTCGCTGCTTAATTGCCTGGATTTTTTCCTCGAGATCTTCTCCAAGATTCTTCGGTCGCCAGGACAACAAATGGAAGTCGGCCCTAGCTTAGCCCCGGTTCCCTGCACTCCGCTTTCTGCCCCCCCCCCCCCCCCCCCCCGGAGAGGAGGAGGAGCTGCGGGGCAGCCCAGCTGGAAGGGGGAGAGGCATCGTGCGGCCCCGCAACCTCCCGGGAGGAGAAGAGGGCCTTACCCGGTCATACCAGCAGCGCATACTCAGCTGTCCACACATGCACTTGCTGGAGGAACAGTCGTCTATGCACACGCAGTACTGAAAGCGAAGGAACAAGGAGCAGAGTTACTGGGGGGGGAGGAGGAGGAGGAGGAGGAGGAGGAGGAGGCTGCTGTGAGCTCTGCAATTCAGGCACAGGAGCAGAGCTGAACCGAGGGGGAAGGGGGGGCGGGGGGGGGGGGGGGAGATGCAGAAGAGAAGAAGGAGGAGAAGCAAAGAAGGAGGGAGGAGGAGATGCAGAAGACAGAAGGGAGGGAGGAGGAGAGTGAGAGGAAGAGGAGGAGCAGAAGGAAGGAGGGAGGGAGGGAGGGAGGGAAAGGAAGGACCCCCAGTTCCTGTCCCCAGCCTGCCACCTGCAAATGGGTGATGTTCCTGTCCACGTTCATGGGCGAAGTCACGCAGTTCTGGGAAATGTACTTGTAGTTGACCGGGCAGGGCTCGCCGTCCACCGAATTGATGCAGGGAATCGGGATCCGCTCGTAACCCCGGGCAATGTCTCTGCCACCGCAGGGAGAAGAGAAGGAACGGCTTTAAGAGCGAGAAGCCGCCCAGGCCATGGACAGGCACCTCCAACCCAGAGGCTCCGTTCTGGGCCGGCTTTCTGCCTTCTAAAGTCAGGAAAAGGGCCAAGGAGCCTCCAGGCCGCTCAGTCCAGAGTCTCAGACCTGCCCATCCATGCAGCCAGGTCCCTTGGGCAGCTCCTCACCCCAAACTGCTTGGAAGGACTTGGCCCCCCTTGGCCAGGGATGCTCCTGGCCTTTCCAAATCTCCCTTCCGTGGGAGAGGCTCCCCTGCCCTGATCGGAGTGGGAAGCCTAACGGCCCCATCCTCCATCTCTCCTAAGAGGAGGGGGGTCTCCCCTCCAAAATTAGGGGGGGGTGGGGGGAGAGAGAATGGGGAGACAAGCAGGCAGTGCAACTTTCTCTTGCTTAAGGCAGGTGGTCACACCTGCTTAGTATCTTCTCCACCTGGGCGGGTTTCTCTGGAGCTGATTCTTTCAGGGTCTTGTTCATCTGTAAAGTGACCCAGACTTGAGAGTTGAGGCTTGAACACTGCAGCGGGGTCTCGCCTTCCTTGTTTTTCAGGGCCACGTCGGAGCCGCGCGAGAGGAAGAGTCTGCAAGGAAAGGAGAAAGTCACCGGGAAAGGAAGGGGCGGAGCTCGGACGTATCTGGCTGGGGTCAGGCATGGGAAATCCGGAGTCCAGGTGGTTCAAATGGATAGGTAGGTTTATTGTATGCTGACGGGGTGCGCAGGACGCTGAGCTTGTCCGCTGGAAAGCTGACGACCCAGGTTTGAGACCCGAACGCTGTGTAAGGGGTGAGTTCTCGTTCCTTACCTCAGCTCCTGCCCACCTAGCAGTTTGAAAGTGCAAGTAGATTAATAGGTACCACTTTGTTGGGAAGGTAACAACGTTCTGGGTGCCTTTGGCGTATAGCCATGGCGGACACAGGACCACAGGAGATGTCTTCGGACAATGCTCAGAAACAGAGACGAGCCCCAGAATCGGATATGACTGGACAGGGAAACCTTTGCCTGTATTCTCTCTACCGTAACCTGAACTATGAATGGTCCTCATCAGTCTCGAGTCCCTTTGCGCGCACAAGAGACCTAAGTCCAGCCCGCCTTGAGCTCCGTCTTATCTGCCGCCAATTTGCTTTGACTGTTAGTCGTTCAGATTTTTATAGCGCCCCAGAAACCTGTGCCAATTTGAACCACTTTGGCTCCTGATTTTCCACGCTTGACATGGCCTGAGGACCCTCCCGCCGCCTTGTTAATAACCTCACGACCTTTGCATGTTTGATCTTTACTTGTAAAGTTTGGGCTCTGTGCATTTCCACCGTTTCATTAAACCGCCCAGAGCTGAGATGGACGATATAATTTAATTTGGAAATAAACCAACGAGGAGGGGAAGGGAAGGGAAGAAGCTACGCCCCGGGATTTGTACTTACACTACACACTCGTAGCGATTTTCCCGGGCTGCAATGTGCAACGGAGAATCTCCGTGAATGTTCACCGCATGCAAGTCGCATTTAGCAGCCAGGAGAATCTCGGCGATGTCGACGCAGCCAGAGAAAGCAGCCCAGTGTAAACAGATATTCTGCTCCTGGAAGAGAGAGATTGGGGGGAGGTGGAAGAGGCCATCCAGACTGCCTGACACTTGTGCGGGGGGTGGGGGCGGCACCCCCCCTATTTTTAAGGCCTCCCTCCCTCCCTCCCTCCTCCACAATCCGTGGGCTCCCGTCTTTGGAAGGCAAGGCTTTCTGCCTCTCAAGAGAGGGAGATCCCGGCAACAGCCACCTCCACACTCCCCGAGAGGAGGGGGAGGACCTGATCTTCCCCCCCCCCCCCAGGACAGATGATTCATTTGTTTGCGAGGCACAGCAGGCTCAGGGTGCATCCATGGGGGAAATGCCACAGATGGCGGAGGGAAAGACTTCAGCGTTAGGGAAGCCCTTGGAGATCTCCAGATGACACATCCCTGGGGGGGGGGGGGGCAGCCTAAACAGATCGGGAGGGGGAGAAGAACACGGGCCGGGGTGGGTTCCAGGCCGGAAGCTGCCTGTGGGCCCCCGTTAAAAACACGCCCTCCTGCTTCTCCTCTTTCTCTCGAGCCCTGCAAGTCGCAAGAGCTGATCGCCTGGGCGGAGAAAGGATTTATTCCTGAGCGGAAGGAGTCTCGCTTCTGGCTTTGCCCGAAGTTCAGCCTCTCTCTCTCTCACGCCTTGAGAAGAAGGGCCGGTCGGGGGGAAAAAATGTTCTTGGGTAGGACAGGGCAAGAGCCTCTCTTGATTCCCCTTCCGTGAGTGAAATTGTAACCCTGGAGAACACCGAGAGAACTTTCCTTTCTCCGTCCCTTGGATCCCTCCAACAGCGCAGGAGGAACCAGAGGTATCAGGAGAAGCCCAAGCGCCGCCCATCTGCATTTCAACCACCAAGACCGCTATTTTGAAGAATGGAATGGGGAATGGAAATAGGGAACGGGACAGGATAGAATAAGGGATGGAATAAGGAGTAGAGGAGGAGTTAAATATAGCTTTGTGGTCACTTTAAAGGTACCCTAAGCAGCAGGTATTAAAATGAAATTTCGCTGCATTCAGCTCTCCCAAGACCACCTTATGCCTATACCCCCATGTTATCACACAGAGAAATATCACGGTCTAGTTCTGGTCTATACATATACAGGACCAAAAAAATAAATAAATAGAATCCCGAGAATCCTTTACAAGATGGATGGCATAAGGAGCAAAGCTGTCACACAATCTAGTAGCCCTGCCACAGATACAGCAAAACCCACATTCTGGAGAGAGAAGGCAGCTGGCTTGAGAGAGGGGTCAAGGAGGCCGTCTACGTTAAAATGGAACAGCCCCCCCCCCCCTCTCTCTCAACAGACACCATTGATCTGTTGTTTACCACACAGTCCTTTCAGCCACACCCAGTTACTATTCGCGTGACTCTCAGGGCAGAGATAAACCTCCAGGTGGCCTCAACGACTCTCAGAGAGAGCGCTAACGACCCGACGACTGCACAAGATATAGATCCTCCCATTCTCCACCATTCAGTCAAAACTGAAGAAGCCTCTTGGACGAGAAGGGAAATGTCTTCAATGAAAAACAAACCAAGTTTACTTGCCTTTTGGGGGGGTGGGAAAAGCAAATTTGGGACAACCATGATTTGGACGACTGGGAGCCTCCAGAGATTCTGATGAAATCCAGGTTCTCTGCATCTAAGCCCGCCGGTCCCTCAAATGAGAGGTGCATCCGCCCCACCCAACTTACGTTATCTCGGATGTTGATGTCAGAGCCTTTGGCCAAGAGAAGCTTCACCAGCTCTACGTGCTTGTACTCCGTCGCCCATATCATCGGCGTCCAGCCTCCGTCATCCTGGGAAGAAAGGAGTAACACTTGAGCGGATGCCAAAGCCTGACACGGCACCGCCTACCCCGGAAAGAGAATATTATGGCACCGGGGGTGGGGTGGGGGTGGGGATTGCAAGAGACTAGATGGGTCCTGACATTCTTTTTTGGAAAACTAAAAAGCCCATCAGCTCTTTGTCGAGAAGGACATTCAGGTGCCAATCAAAGAAGACCAAAGTAAAAGGGATCCCTCTCTCATTATCTTTCTGATCAATAGGTGTGGGGTGGTTGATGGTCTCTGAGCTGGGCTGCTTTCATGCAGGCATTTCGTTACCAAACTAGGTAACATCATCAATGCAAAAGAGAGTGGGATTTGTGGAAAGAAGAAGGAAGAGGAGGAGGAGGAGGAAAAGGACTGTGGGGTCTCGGAGCTAGGATGTTTCCTTGCAGGCGTTTCATGACCCAAACTAGGCAACATCATCAGTGCTAATAATGGAGTAGGAGGGTGTGCTCTCATTTTCTGTGCCCTGTCAGATGTTGGTGGGAACGGACTTGGTGATTGCTCGATTGGGCTGCCGTTTTCTGCTAGCTTGCAGTTTCTTAGCTGGCGCACTGCTTGCTTCTCCATCTCTAGCTGCCTGCTGAGGTGTGTGTTGTGCCATCCATGGCAACCACTCTGCACACAGGCAGCCCATTTTCAGCCCATCCCACGCTGCAAAAGGGCTCAGGAGGCCCCACACGGGGGGGCTGGGAAGTTGAGGATCGAACATGGCCGGCCAGCCCGTTCCTCTCCTGCAACCACACCAGGGTGTTTGTCATCGATTCTGGCGGAGAGGCCTAGAGAAGGCCAAACAGACAGAAGAAAGGGGGGGGGAGGGGAGAGGGAGGAGAGATGTCCTTTCGGTGACTCAGAGAACAACTCGAAATGGCTTGGTGGCAAGGCAACCGTGAGCATGAGGGAACGAGAAGGATGCGTGGGCTCTGTTAATTCTGGCTAGAACGGATCGCAGAACAGGGAGAGGGAAGGCAGGCTCTTCATCCCAGAAGACCTCCTGAAAGCCGGGCAATCAGGAAAGGAATATGGGGGTTGGAGTCCCGGCCACCAGAACCCTGTGGAACATCAGCTGTATGGGTATCCAGAAGTGCTAAGAACGGCTGCAGGATTTGGGTACGGCTAGTCTAACGAAGAGGACGGGGGTGCCGTGATTGCAATCTTTGAATATCTACAACCCACGGTGGCGCAGTGGTCAGAGTACGATACTGCAGGCTCCTTCTGCTGACTGCCAGCTGCCTGCAGTTTGGCGGTTCGACTCTCACCAGGCTCCAGGTTGACTCAGCCTCTCGTCCTTCCAAGGTGAGTCAAACGAGGACCCAGATTGTTGGGGGAAAAGAGGCTGACCCTGTAGACCACTTAGAGGGGGCTGGGAAGCACCGTGAAGCGGTATATAGTCTAAGTGCTACTGCCCCAAAGAAGAGGAAGGGGTCAAGCTATTCTCCAAAACCCCTGAACGGAGGACAAGAAGCAACGGGTGGAAACTAATCAAGGAGAGAAGCAGCCTGGAACTAAGGAGGACAATTCATCGGTGGAACAACTTGACTCCAGAAGTTGTAAATGCTCCAACACTGGACGTCTTGAAGAAGAGATTGGACAACCACTTGTCTCCAATGGTAGGGGGTCTCCTGCTTGAGCTGGGGGCCGAGCTGGAAGGTCTCCAGCTCTATTCAAAAGTCAAGTCTTAGCGTTCTACCAAAAGAGGGACGGATGGCCAGACAAACGCTGGTCCCAGTCAGAAGCAAAGTCGCTCACTTGGCAGTTGACGTCCGTCTGTTCATTAGACAGGAGGTATTGCACCACGTTGTAGTGGCCCTTCTTCGCTGCCAGGTGCAAACAGGTGGATCCTTCAGCATCCTAAACCAAACACAGGTAATCAGGTGGAGATGTCAGTGGAACCAGGGCAGGGAGGTTTAGAAGGTGAGGAAAACCTCACCTCACCATGGATGGTGGTGTGATATAAATCAGCTCAGCAACCCTCTGGATTTGGGCCGCGTAATTCTGGGCTGGTCATCTCATGCTGGTTGAGCAATTTCACCGCTGTTCTGCTAAGCAGCAGGAGTGCTCTGTTGCTGCTTAACAATAGCATCTTTAGGACGCTGTCAATGCCCCCTTTAGGAGAGTCAAGAGACCAAACTCCAAGCTCCTGACTCAACAGCACTAAGTGGCACTGCAAAGCCATTTCGAACGCATTGGCTGCACATCCAAACTTTCATCTTTCTCCCTTCTGTCCTGGCCACTTTTTAGAGAGGCACGATTGAGAGCATTTTATCAAACTGCCTCCCTGTTTGGTTTGGTGGCCTCAGATAGAAAGTCCCTACGGAGAGCGGTGAGGACAGCGGAGAAGATTATCGGAAGCTCGCTTCCCGTTATTCGGGATGCTGCTGATAAGCGCTATGTGCTGAGAGCCCAAAGCATTGATAGAGGTCCAACACACCCACTTCCTGGCCTGCTTCTGCTCCTCTCCTCTGGGAGCGGGTTTCAAAGTATCTATAGCAGGACTACTAGACCCTGTAAAAGCTTCGTCCCTTAGGCCATTCGTCTTCTACATTTGCCGGATTCTTCCCCAACGCTATGCGTGTATGTGTGGATATAGGCATTATGGTTCTCTTGTGAGAGCGGAGTGCCTCAAATTTTCATTTTAATATATGCTGATCAGTGTCCATTTAAAGTGACAATAAAGTTTCTATTTTATTCTCTTCTACTCTACTCTCTTTTATTTTGTTCTGTTCTGTTCCATTCCACTCCATTCCATTCTATCTTATAGTTTATTCTATACTCTATTCTATTCTGACATGTCCCGTTCATTCTCTTCTCTTCTCTTCTCTACTCTATTCTACTCTACTCTACAAATGGTAGGAATTTAGGGCTGAACACTTACACCAACAGCAATGCCACTGTGAGATCTTCAATCCAACTGATGATTGAGTTCCTACTTGATGCTAACCTGAAAAGTGTTTGGCCTGGTGGGTTCTGAGAATGCACCATTTTCTGACTTGCAAACCAGAGTTTGCACCCAGGGTGGCTCCTTTGGAAACTAAGTTTAAGAAAACAAACCAAACCTTACCTTGGGGTCTACCAACGCTCCAGCCTTAATGAGGTATTTCACAGTTTCCAGATGGTTATTCTCTGCTGCTTCCATAAGGGGAGTCCGCTGGTCCTGAGAACAGGTGTCTATGTTAGCACCAGCCTGTGCAGAGGTACCGTTCGGACCCAGAAGGCAAAGAAAGAACCACGGTTAGCATTTTTTTAATACTGCCAAGAGGCCAGTTGCTTAAACCTGACATTCTGGTCAGGTCCATGCCTCATGCTAGGATGCTGCTTTGTGGCTTAGGGATGTTATGCAGATCCTACCACCTGATCCACACACACACACGCGCGCGCGCACACACACACTTAGGGGTTCTGGGGCTGCACAGAACCCATGACGACATTGCAATTGTGGAATTTTTCTCTTTTTTATCTCTTCTTTCGCTTCCCCCCTCCGCCCACCCCCCCAGAAGCCCAAGAGATGCAAAGCATCCTCCGACCTCCCCTCTTCCCCCCCAACAGGTCTACCCAGTAGGCCAGTCCAAGCCATCCTCGGGGAGCTTGGCAGCTGGCTGGGGATTCAAAGGCAGCTCTCCATGGTCCTGATCTGAGACCCCAACCATGACATCAGGCTGGCTGGAGCGCCCTTGGTGCTCTCTGAGCTCGCTTGTTTTCTCGCAGAAGTTTCATGACCCCAACTAGGTAACATCATCAGTGCTAGTCCTAGTTCAGGTCATGAAAACAGACCTCTCACGTCAACCCCTGAGTTACAGATATTCTCCTTTATGAGTAAACTCTTAACTCGTTCAATGACAGACAAATTACATTTTCCCCCCATGCAGAAAACCCAAAGCAATCTACTTGATTCCACACCAGACTCCAACTTCCTCATCCTTTGAACCAATAGCCAAGACAAGGATTATGGATCTAGAGCAGGGGTCTTCCAACTTGACAGCTTTAAGACTTGTGGACTTCAATGCCCAGAATTCCTCCCCCAGTCAGGTTAGCTCGGGAACTTTGGGTGTTGAAGTCCACAAGACTTAAACTTGCCAAGTTGATCTAGAGGAAGCTTAGAATCGGTCACGTTGATTGCTTTTAGAACAGACTCAGCGTCTGCTTGATGGAATAAACAGACACTCACTATCCCCCACTGATTTGGCTCTCTAGGAAGAGAAGGGAGCGTAGCCCTAACCCTTCCGGTCGGGAAATAACCTTTAAAGGAAGGGGGGGGGGAAGGGAATTAAGGATGAACCTGAAGTAGCATGTGACAAATCTCCACGTGTCCCGATTCTGCGGCTGCATGAAGAGGCGTCCTCTTACTCTGGTGCTCCATTTTGAAGTTGGGATCAATCCCATCCACTGAGCAAAAAAAAAAAGGAGGGGGAAGACAAAACCCGTTTTCCTTTACAGGCAATCCTTGACTTACGACCGGTTGCTTAGCAACCGTTCGAAGCCCCCACTCCCAAGAAAGCCACTCGTGACCGCGAGGCTTCAAACTTCCAACAGCTGTAAAATTGGGTGAGACGTGGGAGGAGCCACATAACAACCGGCACGATACACAACTGTAACTCCGGGCTCAACTGCAGCCGGAAGCCGGGGGCTGCCTCCACGGACGGAGGGGGAGCTTCCACGGGGGGGAACTAGAGAAGGGAGGGAAAGAGCAGAGGGCTCCCCTGGTTGCCAGTTCCAGCTAGTCCTTGGCTCGGGTGTTCTCTTGCAAAGTACCTTCCCCTTCCTGGTCTGGTCCAGCTTTCCTCAATCTAGAACCCCACAGATAAGGCTCGGAAGGCAACCCCACTGACACAGCCATGGGTTGGGCCGGATGACAACTAGGACAGTTGTAATTCCACATAGGTAGAGGATACTGCATAGGGACACAGAATCACAGGATTGGAAGGGACCGACCCTCGTTCCGGGAGGCTTTCAAGAAGAGGTTGGGCAACCCTCGGCCTGGAATGGTAGACGGTCTCCTGCTTCAACAGGCTGGATCGGAAGACCTCTGTCTCCCCAGTCCATCTCCTGTCCAGGCAGGGAGATACCACTCCATCCCTATCCCATTCCAGGCCAAGGGCTCTCCAGCCTCTTCTTGAGACCCGCAGCCTCCGGAGAGAAGCCCTTCCACTGAGTCCTTGTTCTCCCTGTTTGGGGCTGGATCTTGACCCCCCCTGCAGCAGTCTAAGGACCTCATTCCTCAAGTCGAGAATCTCTACTAGCTGCGGTGTGTGTTGTTAAATGCTGGGGGGCGGAGCGGAGGGGGGGGATTTTACTCACCCAACATAAGGAGGACCTTCTGGAGCTCCCCCTGCCTGGCTGAGAAGTACAGCTGCTTCGAGTGAAACCGCAATTTCTTCGGCCTGCGAAAGCAGAGGAAGAGTGACTGTCACATGGAAAGACGGGATTTTGCCATTTCCCGCCAAAGAATTTCCCTCCGATTCCCACCAAGGAAGCGACGGTTCTGGGCTGGCTGAGCTGGACGCGGTCAACTTAGTCAGGGCAGCCTGGAGGAGGAGCCAAGGCGGTAGATCCTGGCCCCTTCCGTGGCGCCAGCGGCACCCGAGTTCTCAGCCCCGCCCGCTCAGGCTGCTCTTACTTTTCTGAATCCAGGGCGATCAGGGCGCTCTCCAAGGTTTCTTTAACAGGCCCCTGGGATAAGCCAGCCGGAGGCGGCTTAGGGAACAGCGACGTCCCAGCCAAATCGAAGATCTCGCTGGGCAAGTTCTCCGCTCTCCCTTCTTCGGGTTGCTGGGTTGCAGGCCCACTGAAACTAAACCCAAGACAAGAAAACCCGAGCGTCAAGCAACACACGTCTTTTTGCTAAGCGAAGCAGTCCTTAAGTGGGAAATCACGTGACCACAACTCTACTTTCCCACTGGAAGGATACAAGGCTACCCAGTTTCACGCTTCCGTTTTTTGTTTGCCTCCCCACCACCCCGCCACCCTTGGGAAGCTTGAGGGCCCGCTTGCTGTCTTCTGCCCATCATACTGGCAGCCTGGGGCCACAGGGGCCCCACGCGGACAGCTCGGTTTCTTGAAATCCCTTTCTCTCCAATCTCTCCCTCTGCAAGCCGGGCTGGGGGAACCAAAGCAAGCCATTCCTGTAGGCCACCTTTCCTTTCCGGCTGCTGGGGCAACCGCACTGCTCCCAATGTGTAGAGAAACAAGCCGTTTACTCCCTTGAAATCCCTTCCCAGTTTCCCTGTTCTGCACTGGGAAGGGGAGGAATCAGACAAGGGAGAGACTGCCTACAAAAATCGCATCCTTCACCCCATGGACACAGCGGGGACCCAGGAGATTTCAAGGTAACACTGCAAGCTGTTTGCGTGGGGCGTGTGGGGCTCCTGGGCCCAGACTCCCCAGCACGATCCCGTTGCTTCTGACGTGAAGAAGAGCAGCAAAGGGCTCGTTTTCTGGCAATCCTTTCCTCTCCAATCAGTCTGCTCTGCAAGGGGGGGGGAGGGAGGGAGGGAGGGAGGGGCCGATCAAACAGGGGAGGGAAAAGCTGGGACTTGCCTTCCAGTGGTCGTGTCGGCCTTGCCTTCCAAGGCACCTGGCTTCTTCTGCTCCAGGGTCAGCAGCAGCAGGGTGGAAGTGGTGTCCGCCTTGGCCACCGTGACCTCCTTCGCCTTGGAGGCCTCCTCCCCACAGTGGGGGCAGTAGCTCATGCCTTTGAGGTGGGACGTGCAGTCCTGGTGGAACCGGTGGGAGACGCTGCTTTCCGGCTGGCACTCCATGAAGGTGCCCTGCGGGGGGGGGGGGGGAGCGCAAAGGGCAGAAGAAAGAAAGAAATGCATCCCTCGACCCAACGACCAACGTTTGGGTGGCTAAGCCGGGCATCTGTTATGGTGAGTCTGGCCCCGCTTTGACACCTTTCCTCAGCCACGGCAGTGAAGGCAACTGCCACGGTCGTCAAATTAGCACACCTGGCTTCCCCTGGGGGACTCGGTAGGCAAAAGATGATCACGCAAGGCCCCCCCAGGGGGACTCTGCGACCGTCCATAAACGTGAGTCGGTCACCAAGAGGGTGAATTCCGATCACGTGACCACAGGGGGATGCCGCGACGTTAAGTGTGAAAAACAGCCGCAAGCTGCTCTTCGCCAGGGCCGTTTTAACTTAGAACACTAAATGAACGGTGGTTTAGTCCAGGACTGCCAGGTGCAGAGGCTAGAGGCCGTCGCCCGGGGAAGTGACAAAATGTCAACTCATAAAACATTTCTATGGTCTTTTTAGAGTTGCCAAGAGAAAGGGAGGCGGGGAGAAGGGGTTTGAAAGAGCAGCGCGGCAGCTTGGAAATTGAAAGGGCATTCCATACATAGTTTTTCGAAGATGCCTGAAGTTTCTGCCCCGCAAATATCTAACTGGAGAACACGATTGATGACTCTGGGCTATGGACCCGTCTCAGGGAGCGTGGGGGGAAAACCAGGGTCAAGGGTGACAGTGATTGATGTGTCTCAATGTGGAAGTCTGACAGGTCTCCCATTAGGGGCTGAGGAGGGAGACGGGGATAGATGGAGGGCTGGCAGGACTCGAGGGGGGAGAACTTTAGCCTGACCCGCTTACGACGGCACCTATAAAACGATCAGAACGGTTCGCAGGAGAACTTCTAGGCCTCTAGTGCAACTGCCCCCCCCCCGCCCCCCCCCTGTGAAGGACCTGCAAGGCAGGGGGGTTTTGCCAACAGATGCAACCCAGGCTCCACCAGCGAAGAGGGGGAGCCCAGAATGTCCCAAGGACGCCCGTTTCTCCTGCCTCGGGGTTGTCGGATTGTGAGAGATAAGCTGCACCCAAAGGTGGGGGGGGGGGGGTTTCCCCAAGAGGCAAGCTGGACTTTCTGGTTTTTCCTTGAAGACGTTTCGCTTCCCATCCAAGAAGCTTCTTCAGCTCCGACTGGGTGGTGGGGAAAGGGAGGTATTTACATTCCTTGCAGACAGCTGGTCGTTTGCATCCTTTGCGAGGGCCCTTGAGGCCACTTGGAGGAGTGCAAATGGGCCCCGTAGTCTGCAAGTCTCTCTCTCTCTGCCCCTCTCTGGAAATCCGCTCCTCCCCCCGCGCCATTCCAAGGGTGTCCATCCCAAACGGCATAGCTCAAAGTCTGTCGAGATTCTCCGTCCTCCAGGTAACGTTATTAGTCCTGGTCTGCAAGAAAACAGGGGAGCTCAGAGAGCACCCAGAATCCTTAGTTTCTTGGGGGGGGGGGGTTTCCCCCTTGAAAACGTTTCGCTTCTTGTCCAAGAAGAACATTTTCAAGGAAAAAAACTGGACCGAGAAAGTCCAGTTGCCTTTTGGAAAAGCACCTTTGGGACAAACGTGACCTGGATGACAGAGCGGATCTCCTGGCCTTTGACTGTAAGAAACGTTGAGTTGACCGGACTTGAGGCCAGAGAATCCCCCAGGATGCCCTCCTGGAATGGGGCAGGAAAGGCACAGTCCTGCAGTCTGGCCCTCCTAATACTATGGCATCACGGTGGCCGAGAGGAAGAATGTATTTGAAAAGGGAAGAAATAAAAGAGAGAACCAGGAAGAGGCGGAGCCTCCATTTTCTGACTCCTAACTCAAGCCTGGGATTCCTGTGGGACCCACATTCCAACTTTGGGAGGCCGACTCTTCCTGCATCGTCGTCCCTGACCCATCCGCGCCAAGAGAGCTCCCGTTTTTTGGCCCCCTTCGATGCGCCCAAACTCGAGAGCCCAACGTTTCACCGTGGCTCTCTCCGCCCAAGTGTTTGTTTTAAGGGGAGGGGCAGAATCTCCTCCTCCTCTTCCAGTGGGGAAGGGCTCCGGGGCCTTCTCTGAAGAGAAGACTGGCTTCCACGGGGCCCGGGGGCCTCAGAGCCAGCATCCGCTCGGCCTGCCTACGTTCCAGGGTTTATGTCGATTCTTCAAACCGTCAGTTCTTATTTTATCTGTTGCCCAAATCAAGAGGGAACCCAGGGGGCCGCTGCCCCTGGGGGAGGAGGCAAGAGTGCCGTCCAGCCTCCCTTGTCATGCTTACCGCCACGCAAAAGAAGCCGCAACCAGGGCAGCACTGATGCTTCACCATCCTCCCTCTGTGGTCCTCGCACAACACCAAGAGCTGGACTTTGTTCGACGCGCGCATCAGCTCGTACTTCAGCACGCGGTTGGTGCATCGACTCAGCTGAGGGTGGGGAGGGGAGAGGAGGGAGGGAAGAGAGATTTCTGGCTAGTGTGCACACGGACGGACGCACGAGAGAGCACCGCATGAAGGCCTTCTCCCACGTTCGTTGAGCCCTGGGAGTCATTGTTCACACGGCCAGCAAGCTGCAAGTCGCCCGAGACTATTCGATACCCAGAGAGCGATGCCTTTGGGGTGGGGGTGGGGGGGTTGTTCCACCATCCATGGATGTCACATCTCTGCCTCTCGCTTGGGTATCGGATGGAAGAGCGAGCCTCACAAGGAGTAACTTAGCCTCATTGAAGTGCAAAAAGTCTCTCTCTCTCTCTCTCTCTCTCACACACACACAAAATGGATTGGAAAAGAGTGGTTTTTGCTGAGATTTCATATCAAAATTTTGCTTGGCTTTGTTTGAGAAAGACCTTCCTTCCCTCCTTCCTTCCTGTTTCTGTTCCCTCCATTTCCTTGCCTTCCTTCCTTCCTGTTTCTGTCTGTTACTTTCCCTTCCTTCCTTCCTTCCTTCTCTCCTGCCTTCCTTCCTTCCTGTTTGTTTGTTCCTTTTACTTCTTTCCTTTCCTACTTCCTTCCTTCCTTCCATTCTTTCCTCCCTCCCTCCCTCCCTTCCTTCCTTCCAATCCTTTCCTTTCCTTCTTTTCCTTCCCTTTCCTTGTGAACCCAGCCCATCCCCCAGGGGATTCCTAAGTAGTGCTTCTCAGCGCTATGTGAACCCCCCACCACCGCAACTCGCCCCCTCTGGAAACCGCTCCTCCGAAGACAAACAGGAACTTCCAGACGAGCCACCAGAAGGGAAGGCTTGGGGAAGCGCCGGATCGACTCGGGTACCTCACAGGTAAACCTACTTCCTAAGCCCCCGCACAGGAGCTTAAGGGCTAGAAGCAGAGGCTCAGGGGCCCAAGGCAAGACTGAAGGGGTCTGCAGGAGGGACAAAGGTGCTTTTTCCAAGAGGCAACTGGACTTGTGGGCAACCGTGACCTGGATGGCGGAGGATCTCCACAGGCGTGTCTGTAGGAGATAACCAACCCGAGGGAGGAGTCAAGTGTGTCATTAGTCTCGAGTCCGTTTGCACCCACAAGAGAACCAAGCCCAACCCACCTTGAGTTCTGCTGATTCGTATCTATCTCCAAGTTGCTTTGACCACCGCATCAAGTCCAGGTTCTTACAGAGAGTGTTAGCCTGCTGTGACCTCCCTTCGCTTGAACCGCTCCAGAGTTCCTACATGTGTCCGTCTCCTTCAGATGCGCAGGTGAACCAGACAGACAACAGTCGCCCACAAGTAGCCGTCCAAGAGGAGGAGGAGGAGACATAAAGAGGCCTTACCTCCTTATCTACACTCTCCGTGGCCATGCACTGGTTGTTGGCTAGCGTGGTGATCTCCCGGCTTTTCGGAGTTTCCATCCGGCAGCTGCAGAGAGGCACTTCTTGAAGACCGTCTGTTTCCGTTGCCCCAGAACCGTTAGAAAGACCTGCAGGAAGAGGAAGAGGAAGAGGAAGAAAAAAGCTGTTTCCGTTGCTCCGGGAGCATCAGAAAGACCCGCAGGAGGAAAAACGAAACGGACAAGGGATTCCGACAGAAGGTGAAGGCAGGCCAGGCCGCCCCAAGGGACGAAGAAGAGGGGCGGGGTCAGCCCGTCCTCCAAAGCCCCTGAAGGCAGGTCAAGAAGCAACGGATGGAGACAAGTCATGGAGAGAAGCAACCTGGAGCTAAGGAGAACCGCCTCGGTTCAAAGAATTAATCGCTGGGAGGGTTTGCCTCCAGCAGTTGCGGCTGCTCCACCACGGGAGGTTTCCAAGAAGAGACTGGAAATGGTATCGGGTTTCCTCTCAAGCAAGGGGTTGGACTAGAAGACCTCCAAGGTCCAAGAATTACAACACTGTGCTTCTCTTGGGTAAAGGGCGAAGACGGAAGGGGAACGGGGGGGGGCGGCTTTGTTTGGAGAATGGTGGGGTTGTGGGACACCCACGCTGCCCTCCTAGCCAAGCGTGCGTGTCAGAAGAACAGCTGCAGAGGAAACAGGAAGGGCCCTTGGATGGCCCCCGCAGGTCCTTTAGAGGAGGAAGGGCCCGTCGGCTCCACCTTCGGAGGTTCTGATTTAGCCTGGCCGCCCTCCAGCAGTTCGGAGATTAGAATTGCCCGCCAACCCATCCCACCGGTCAGCATCCCAGAGAAACTTCCCATTTCCATTCAGCACTCAGAGGCAAAGCCCACCCAAGTGGGAATTTCTTCAAGAAGGCACATCTGGGACCACCTGAGCCTGAAACTTCCGGCTTTTCCCTTCCCCAGGTGAAAATCCAAGGTCCACCCCCTGCAGCCCCCCCCCCTCCCAGTCCACCCCATGGCCCAGTCAAGCGCCCGTCCTCTCCGAAGCCAAACCTTTCCCCCATCTGCAGCCTTCCAGAGGGGACAGGAGGAGGCAACCTCTGCATTTCAGCCCAGGTACCGGAGCCGGGCTGGGCGTTTGGCTACTCAGAAACCCCGGGGGCCGCTCAGAAGGGTGGAACCCTTGAGCCAGATCCCCAAGGTGGGTGGGTGGGTGGGTGGCAGCTTCTCAAACTCTGCCTGGCCAACGCTCCAACAAGCGGGAAGGGAGCGAAGGGAAACTCGAACAAGGACTAAGGCCCCGGTGGGCTCTGGGGGGCCTCCTGCCAGCAGGGCAGACCAAGGTCAGAAGCTACGGCGCCTTGGGAAATGAGGTCTCTGTTGGACCAGCCAGGCGAGGTTCTCCGGGTCGAGCAGCACCGTGGATCTGCTCCCTCGGACAAAGCAAACAGGCCTCCCAGGACGACGCTTGGAGAAGTTCGTGGGACCTGAGCTCAGCTGGGCCAGGCGGCCCATTCCTGGACAGCAGGGAAGCCGAGACAGGAGGAGCCCAGAGCTGGGAGCGAGTGGCTCTGCAGCAGAGCTGGGAGGGGCCTCGGAGGTCTTCTAGTCCAACCTCCTGCTCAAGCAGGGAGACCCCATAGCATTTCAGACGGGGGGGGGGCTGCCCCCTTTCTGTCCTTCCTTCCTTCCTTCCGAAGAGCCCCCAGTGATGGAGCTCCCACAACTCCTGGAGGCAGGCGGCCATTAAATGCCTTGAGGGTCCTTCCCAACAGATCATCTGCCGCCCCACCTCCCTCTTTTCTCCTGAGGCCGAGGGAATCTGACTCCTCGCCCCAACTGCTGGGGTCCATTGTGTGACACACTGACACACACACACACACACACCCCGTCTCTCTTTACGAGGGCCGCCAGCCTGCTCTCCTTCTCCGGCTAAGCAGCCACCAGGGGGCATCGTCTTAATAAAGAGAAATGAATCCCAAGAAAACAAAGATCCAAAATGGTACATGGCCATATTTAGAAACCTGAGACACGCACCCACACGCGCACCCCTCACCTTCGGAGGGCGAAGAGAGCGCCTCCTTCACCCGCAGGTCCAGGGAATGCAGAGGCACCTCCAGGTATTCCATGCTGCTCTCCTGCCCGGCTCCTTCCTCGCTCCCCGAAGGGGGCTTGTAAGAGTCAGCACCTGGGGTGGGAAGAGAACGCCAGGGAAGAAGCGTGCATGTGCCTCGCTCTCCTGAAAGGCCACACTCATCGCTTTCACAGGCAGTAGGCAGGCTACACCCGCCGAGGGATCGGTAAATGCAGGTGCGGAGCAGGGAGCCATCGAGAGGCAACCCTGGGCCCTCCGCTCTCTGGGGCCGACCTCCTGCTTCGCGTGGGAAAGTTCTTAGTGACCAGGAAGGCTAAGCTTCAAGGGGGGGGGGGTAGCTTCCCTTCCCAGGAAGGAAGGAAGGAAGGAAGGAAGGAAGGAAGGAAGGAAGGAAGGAAGGAAGGAA